CGCCACAACGAGTAAGAATAGAAATTATCATTAAATTGAAATGTAGGCATTCAGATAAAACTGAAATAGCCCTCACTAGTTTCAGGAAGCGCTTACCATACATGGTTTATGCCCTGTTTTATCAGGATTGGCCCAGGATAGGTCAGGCACAAACCAACCTCATCAAGAACACGGACTTCACCTATGCTAGTACGGCAAAATACCCAAACTGCAAAGAACTGCTGGGCCTGCGGCAAAGCACTGTGTCATGAACGTCTGCAAAGCAATTGGGTGGTGCAAAGCACCCCTCTTTGCAGCGTGTTGTTGTGCTGCTGCCTGTTCTGCTGCCTGCTGCCTTTGCTTTCTTCATCTATACGTCTGGCTCTTTCCTCTTGTTCTGCCTATATTTTTGCCACAACTTCTTGGGCAGCAGCTTGTCTGGTTGCAGGGTGTTGTTGGCTTTGCATGTTTGCTGCGCTGCTCACCATGGGATCAATGTGACAACGCAGCAATGACATAAAACATCATGCAGCATTAGAACACGCTACCTACATGCATGACCATTCCATAATGTAGCACTAACATATCATGTTGCAGCACTAGCAGCAGCATACCCATATGTATGCAAAAGTAGGCCTTCAGTGCGCAAAGTGCCCCACATGTGCACAGTAATTAATGTGCATAGTTGCAATTTTACATGTCATGCGGCAATCAGTCCAAGACCTTGCCCAGCCCCTGTTCTACTCCTCCCGTTCGGCTCTCGACAAACAGCTACTCGCTTGGCTCATTCCACTGTATTCTGAAAAGTCAAGATTTAGCGACCCATTGTCCGCTTAAGACCGCCCCCAACCCTGATTCACTGATGGGCCGGTGGACACTGGCTACAAATGAGAAGCGCAATCAACATCCCACTGATCCTGCATGGAAGAGTTCCCAACCTTTCGGCCTGTGGGTAAACTAAAGACATGTGGGTTCACATGATCTGCACGACTAGACCCTGCACCCTTGAGGTCCCAGACCGATTTGCAAGCCTTCCATCTGATTTCGATGAAGGTAGACATCCTCAGAAGCTGAAGTTTCTGAAGCATTCATCTTTGGTTGCACAATGCTACCATCACAGTGGCCGGGGCCTCACACACAAGACTAAAAGGGACGTGGTTGATGAACAATACGTCCTAATTATAACAAAATTGCTACTAGTAATAAGATGTAATAAGTGCATTGCCACTAGTAGCTAGAAGCTAGTTCCTGGTAACAAGTGCATTACTACTATAGTCAAATGAAACACCGTAGTTTTGCAGCCCAAGGGGCGCGGCTGAAGCGCAATTTGGTCTCCTCGCAATCAATGAAGCCGTAGCCATAGCCATTGGGGACGTCCATAAACCTGATGACATGGTCATGCATCCGTTTTTGTAGACCTGCCATGAAATAGTTTTTGTTGCCCCCCCCCCGCATCTGTCATAGACATGTCCTCACACTAGACACCCTCATTCCGACTTGTTTTGTTTCCAGTGGATTCAGAAGATTGTTTCAGGGACAAGGCGTCCTTTTTGCGCAACATCATTGCAACTTGAAGTATATACGCAGTGAGCACTTCTGGAAGCGTTTCGGGTTTTGCCGGTAGGCACCTGTTGGGTTTCACCAGCGAGACCCCCACACCCCACGTCGCAGTGTCATCCAAAATGCAAAAATTGCCAAAACCAAGCAATTTTTCAGTTGATAACTGATGACGCAGCTGCTCCTCCAGCAATCCTTCCATCTTGGACCCCCCTGGAATGCGTCCTGAATCCTGTTAACGTTTTCGGAGTGTGTGCAACATGGGCCATGGGCTCTCTACAAACATTGGCATCAACCATCGGGGTGTCCAACAGTAGCAGGGACAACCAGTGGAGGGGTTGAATAACAGATTTCATCCTCACGAGGGCCCAGCAAAATCACATCTCCAGACTCCATGGTCCATGTTGCTTGTTGAGGGTAAGCTGCTCAAGCCTTCATACCAAGCAGGACAACAAACCAATGCACCTGACTTCCACCCACGACGTTGCTCGGCCGGTGCGCCTCTTGATCCGCCCCACGAGTCGCTCCTCCGTCCGGGCGGGAGCACGTGGGGCGAGGCCTGGTCCGAGAATCTCAAGCTGTGGCTTGCATAGTGCAGGTGTCTGCCTAGCAAGTCTTTTATTGAACTTGCACCCTTGCTCCTACTTACTTTCTTTCTTACTTACCTTACCTTACCTCGGCAATTGCATATATTGTTTTTTCTTGAACGAACACCTACAGGTTTGCTGCGTTCACGGAATATGTATAGTAATAGCTTACGTAATTTAGTTGCAACTCTTTGTTCGATGCAATGTATGGTATTACACAAGATTGCGGAGAATGTGGCCGCACCCGTGCCATTCCGTTTGCCTCCCAAGGCCGCCAGGGCCGCGGCCAGCGCCTTGGCGGTGATGTGGCTGCAGAAAACAAGTTCCCTGACCACTTCTGGGTCACAGCTCCGCATGTTCGGCTTCAAGTTTCCTGATCCTTCGGAACGCCTGCTTATTAAACTCGGCGGGGATAACCTCATGCTGGAGAATGTGGAAGTTGGACCGTCCAACTACGACAAACGGCAGAACATGGCAGAACAACGGTCTCCATTTTTTTCCGAGGTCGCGTTGGTCCAGGCTGAACTTCCTTTCGAAGTCTTGGACTTCATGCTCACCTCTGTGCCCAGCGGCGTCAGGTCCCCTTGGCTCAGAGCAAAAGAGCATGAACACACAGCTGCTGCGGGCGAAGAACTTCGCAAACCTTCTCTGAATGATTTCTGACTCCACCCTCCAAGAGAGGACGAGAGCGAGAACGAGCTCTGACTCGTTCAGAGTTGATCGCCACCGTGAAAAAAGAGGGCACTCGGGTTCAAAGCATCAGCTGAGATCAGCTCAGATCGGCTCACAGTTGGAACTGTAGTCAGGGTAACCTAGCCCAGTGGATCCAAAGCATCAAAGCCAACTCTTGCGGAGTCTTGGATCCACTGGGAAGCGCATGTCATGCCCGCTTTCAATGGTTTTTCGGGCCCAGCACACCGGTGGAGATGGAATTCTGGTGGGCGAGGAGCTTGGAAACCCCTTGTAGCTGTGTCAAGTCGAGGCAAAAGTCATTCAAACCGTTCCAGAATGATCCAAAATCATTGGTGTTTGCACAGGCGGCAGTGCTGGCATTGTTTTCAGGGCCTCCCCACTCTGGGTGACTCAACAAACCTTCACCATGAAGCTAAACGACTCTCTTTCAAGCCTCCCAAGGTTGTGCCAACTCCGCCATAGGAGTTGCTGCAAGGTAAGTAGGAATCAACCAACAAAAGTCATGTCATCCTGGACCTTAGGAGGAACCCCACATTTTGCGTTAAAAAGGGAACACAAACAGAGTCACGCCGTCATCATCATCATCATCATCATCATCATCATCATCATCATCATCATCATCTTCCCACTCCGGATCATGAAGGACACCCACATAGACTCCCCACAGCTACACAGGAGGCCTTTGTAGGGTCCGAAGAACGTGGCTCCGCTCGCATGCGGGAAAAAAAACCAAAGCTGCATGCACTCCCGAACGACATCGGGTGTGTTTTGGCGGAGCCTGAACAGATCAGAGCAGCGAAGGAGAAGAAACAACGATGGCGAATCTGAGGCACTCTCTGACATTCATACCCAGCCATTCAACTGATTAATCGATTAATGATTGATCGGACAAACATAATTACAACATATTACAACTGCATTCTGGTGTTTTCTGGCATCAAACCAACCCTGCCCGGAAAGTCGTCGATCTGGGAGGTATCCCGGTGGATTTTAGGAATTCCCATGAACCAGTGTTTCAAAGGCAGCAACGTTTCTAAGGTCTATCTTCTATGAATTGCTCATGCTTAGTAGGGAATGAGGGAATGCCCTCCCATACAAGAATACCTTAGGATCGCTTAGGGGTCGTATGAGTCAGTCTGCTTGGACCAAACCAAGTTCTCGAGTTTTTCGTCGCTGCCATCGCTCGATCCTGATCCAGTGGATTCTTTGGTGACTGTGACTTCCATCAATACAGTGGGCCATCAGAGTAAATGGCACTGGCGCCCTGAGATCTCTTATATTACATGGGGGTCCATATAAAAACACCGACCTTGCGGTAACTTGTGCCATCTACTCTGAAACCGGTGAATTCCGATGAAGCCACATGACTACATGAGTCTTTTCTTGATTGTGAGGTGGCATCAAGAATCGTTTTTTTCTGGTGAATTCTGTTGGGGAGGCCTGCACGAGACAACCCGGTCTAACCTGGAACTGGAATCACTTCAAGCAAGCAACATGCAGCAAGCAACCCAGATTTGGGGAGATACCTTCCTCCTTGGCGATTGGGGAGTGTCCGTTTTTTCCGGAAGTGACGGAAGACCATGAGAGGAGCACATCCCCTGCGGTCCAGGTGTCCATCAGGCCTGCGCCCGCTCTCCTCCCTACTATACTACTATATAGTAACAAGGGCATTGCTACTAGTAACAGGAAGCTACTAGTAACAAGGGCACTTCTACTAGTAGCAAATAGATGCTACTAATAGCTTCTGATCTCTCCTTCGCTCTGCATCTGACCGAAGGACTTGCGGAATCGACCCAGCAAGGCTGAAAGCCACGGTCGGTGTGGACTATCAAAGAGAATGCGTCTGGATGCCTCAAGTGTGGGCTTCTGCCATCTTGGACAGTCAATTGCATGATGAAATAACCTCAACCGAACCGTCTCGTGTCACTAGTTGTAGTAGCAGTGAGGAGCGCTTATACTCTTCTTGGCTTCTTCTTTCAAATGATTTAGAGTTTATATGATTTCATTATTGTATAAGATCAACACCCCGGCCAACAACCAACAGGCATCTCTTGAGCCACTCGGTGACAGGTACAGTACCATGTTGGAAGTTGGGATCGTTCGAAGCTGGCATATCTGTTGGTCTTCAAGGTGCATTCTGGCATTGTTGTCAAGAACGCCGAGCAAACAAATAATTACAGTAGACGAGATCCAAAAGTGGTGTTGCAAGTGGGTTTTCTTTTCACTGCACTGGCTGCTTAGAGGGGGTCAGCTTCAGCCAGGACAATCCACGGATTTTTGGACTGGCCTTTTGCCAGCCACAGTGAGAAGGCTGGAGGAGCCGTTCTCCTCATGCTGCGTCTGACGCCCTTGCAGGAAGCTACTCCTCGGCATTGAGATGGGCGGAAGAAAGCTAGGAAGAGGCATTGCACAACTTGGAGGAGTAGAACGTTTGAATAAAATATGTCTGTCAATGTGTGTCATGATTTGAAAATGAACCAAGTGCAAGCTCACACCCTCCAACAAAAACACCATTTCTGCCGAAGCCCTCTCACTATTCCTGGGGTGCCATGTTTGTCGTTGATGGTGCGAGCTTCTGGATCAGAACAAAAAAGACAATGAACATAGTCAAAGGGCTTGTTGAGTGAAACAAGGAACATAAACATCTCCTGAAGCTTCCAACCGGCCGAAAGGACCCTGGATGTGAGGGTCTAGTTCTAGGTATTGCAAATTCAACACAAAAGCAAAACGATATGCAAAAATCGACGAACTTGCTCCGGGCCGCACTTGGGACATGGAGGGCATTGGCATCGATGCTCCGCCTCCTCAGAGTAGTGGACACCACCGCAGTCGGAGATCTCAGGCAGTACAGCTGGAGTCTCCTGACATGGAGTACAGGGGACAGCACCCTTGAAAAGGATAGAAACAGCATCTCATGGTCGAATTCCCTGCATATATATATATATATATGTATTATTGTCATTACTCTAGAATAAACACACTCTCCATGCAAATACGCAATCATATATATACATATGGAAGGCAACACTATTTTGATATATATATATTTATATGTATGTATGTACTGATTGTATATCGATTACATGTTCATACATGTTCCCTTTTTTTCCACTTCACATGAGCTATGAACTTCTCCCAGTCACTCACCCGCTACCAAACCTCACGGGTGAGTCTCCCCTCACACACGCCACGGCTCCTTCAACCAGGAAACGGCCTTGAAGTCCGGATCCTCAAAGCCTCAGGGTGCCACCGGTGAGGACCTCTGAGGCTTGATAGGTGGGAGATCAAAACGCCACTTGATGGGAGGTGCGTAGGTGCCCTAAGTCCACTGAGTCCAAGATCCACGAAAACTCTCACGGTGGTGGCTACAGCCCAAGATCTTTCAATGGTCTGCAGTAGGGTTGGTGCTTTGATCTCATCTACGCGGTGTTGACACTGCTGATCTCCACGGAATGTGTCCAACCCCCCCCTTGTAAAACCCAAGTTATTCACTACACACGATGTTGCCCAACCCTGCCCATTTCTATCCATTTCTACTTGAGGCCGAGGGTAGGTGAGGAAAGCTAGCAGGGATGCATCCGTGTCAGTGGAGGCGAAGCATACAGCGCCGTCCAGTGACAAAGGATTGGTGGGACATCAAGCGGAGTGAGGCAAATCTTTTTTCATAGGCATGGGGCTGTTGGAGGGATGGTTCACAAGGTCTCGCTCATGAGGTAAAACGTTGTGAACATGTAAGACACACGAACAGCAATGACACAGCCAACCTTAGCTTTTGAATCTGTTGAATCTGTTGCATCGTATCCCAAAACCTCCACGGAGGAGTTCAACCAAAGTGGATGCCATAAGAGGTGTCCAAAAGGTGTCCCAGAGGCGTCCCAGGGGGGAGTTGAACCCGCGGGGGGGGCCCTCTACATATGAAGTTTTCACGTGATGCGGCGATCTCGAGGATTCCAGCCCCTCACTTGCTAAAGCAAGGACAACTCCAGCTAGCTGCTGCTAGCTTTCGTGACTTGGCCCTCCAAAAAGTTCAATAGCATCCATCCTGGGTCTGTTTCTGGTTTTTCTCCCACTCCATAAACATCTGTAGCAACTCAGCTGCATTACCTCAGGACTTCCCACCACCTGGGTCCCATCCCAAGCACTCGATATACCGGCATCCTGTTAGGGCCCAACAACCCTCTAGGGGAGACCTGTTGGAGGATGCTGGTATGGGAATATATATATATAGATATATATATATATACCTCTTCAAATATGGCAATCCCATGGAGTGTCCCGGGCCTGGTGTCCGTCCAGTTCCACGCCCAGTGGCGTTGGCTGTTGGCGCAGGCTGCAAAGAGGTCGCACAGGGAGCCACCCATGGAATGCCCCGTGCAGGCCACGTGACTGGGGACAGCAATGGTTTGGGGGACCAACTCTGACCGGATGGGCTTTGGGGTGCCCAAAACATGTCAGAAGCACCAACTTCTTGGTCAAAGGATTCAAATGGGTTTGATGGGTTTAGGTCAAGCATAAGAATAAGAATGGTGGAACTGGAGCGAGTCAGTATTTACCGCAAATGTATATAATTACATGTATTGATGGATTTTTGTGGACTACATGTCATGGATGGACTTTCCAACATCACGGCCCAGGTTGGGTCATGGCGGAAATTGCCCGATTCACTATTCACTGATGTAGGTATATAATAACGTGTGTGTTGTGCCAACCCGTGTCAAGCGCTATACTGATACCCCCCCATTCTTGCCAAGCAGAATAGACAAAAGAAGAATATTCTAAGAACAAACAATTAGCAAACACAATCTTCCAATAATAGGCAAATAGCACCTTCTAAACTTCTAAAATGTTCTATCAATTCCTATCACCTGTCACCTGGTGGAAACCCTACCTGCCGTGAATCAAACATCTGTCCACCTGTGCCCTAGAGGTCCATGGGACCCCTCATTATACCATGCACGAAAACAGTGAGGGGGACAGACAGGGAGAGAATGCAAGGGTTCAAGAGGATTGTGCCAAACACTGCCCTTCCCGCCCACCCATTCTCGTTCCCGCCTGCACTTGCCCATCAGTGGACGCACGTGCGGGAACACAAACTGCATAATCCTGAGATTGGCTGGTGGGGGGAATGTTCAAGGTGTCAATGCAGCACCTGCCGCAGTGTTGAATCTCTTTGCTTTTGGCTTCAATTTCTGCTTCTGACCTGCTCCAGGACCGCTGCCTTCGAACCGCTTCCGCTCCGCGTTCGCGCCCGTGCCGGGTCAGCGGGCCTTCGAAGCTCGTCTCGGTAGCCGACGTGGACGCCCTCGAAGCCGCAAAAGTCACTGGTGCGCACATCCGTGGCCGTAGCCAACTCGTTGCCTCCGCCCGCGGCGTGGGGGTGGTGCCTGAAAGTGGCGCCCGGCTATGTTGCCGCCTCTCAACTAATACATGTGTCCGGATAGGAAGAGGATGGACAAGGTACAGTAAGATACAGTAAGTATCAATGTCAGGTATATCAGACATTACCCTGGGTTCGAAGTCAGCAACTCTGACAAAGTGGAATTATAGCCCAAAATGTGATCATTGATGATGATAATCAATCCAACAGACTGATTGCATCAAAAGGCTGTTCGATCCTGATAGCATCAAGCTCTGGTTGGTCTTTTCTGCCAACAACAGCTGTCCCGGCTTTCCAATCGGGACTTCCTTTCGACACGTTTCACCCACCGCTTCAGCATGCTTCAACCCATCAACCATCGCTGCCGGTTCGGCGCCCAGCCGTAGTTGTTGATGCCGGCAAAGGCGAGGACGCAGCGCTGCGTCTCAGAGTCCTCGAGCGAAAGGAGGACGACGACAGCCAAAGGAGCTAAAGAAGTGGAAGATTCTGGAAGATCTTGGGGTATATAATATTATTATCCCATCACCAGTGGATGCTTAGTAAAGACCTCTAGGTCCCTTTCCCCTCAAATGGTGATAGTCTTCTACCGACTGTTGCTAGTGCTGGGACACACCCGAGGATGATCTAAAGAAAGGGAGGTGAACAACATTTGGGACGCTCCGGATCAGCTGTGGTACCCAGCTCAGGAGCCAAAGATCAGTCGGTGAATCCCACGATCGCTGGCCGCGTTACGTCCAGTCCAAAAAGACAGAAAGGGAAGTGAACAAAGACTTTCGACCACAGATTGCCTCTAGAAGCCTAATTAATCATGGAGTTGAGTAGACGGACAAGCCCATAGTGCCATAAGTGCCATAGTCAACAGTTCAAAGTCACGTCCAGCACCTTCCGGGGTCTTTCTGCGATTCTACCCTTCCACTGGGCACTTTGGGCGAGTTCCCTCCAGAAAACTGCATCAACCTGAGGCTGCGGCTAGGGATTGTCGCGCCAAAAGAGTTATGAAGCTTGAAACACAGCTGCACAAAGCCACGGAGCCGCCTCTCCACACTCTCCGGTGCACCTCTGGCTCTCCCCCCCCCTCCAGAGCCTGCACCAGCATCAACGGATCCTGAAGGTCAAAGGATCGACGGATCGATCCAAGTCGACGGCGATGGTCTCTTTCCTTCGCCCCAGCTTGGAGTTCTCCAATTCTCGGGTGCTGACATAAGGGGAAAGAAGGTCCAGCTGGAGCTGCTACGTACAATAGGGTGACTGATGGTGAGTGTGAAGAGCTCCAAGGCAACAAGCTCCACAATGAACATCTCTGGAGGTTTGAAAGGCAGAGCTTCGCAGATTCTAGGTGAAGCAACGATCATCTTCCGTCGGGAAATAAACACACCGACGTGCTGATCGAAACTAGCAAACCCTCCTCCCAGCCCTGCCACACCCAAAAAGCATTCGCACAAACCACCTGGAAAGTGTCAGGACCTTTCAAGGGATCTCTCAGCTCTCGCTGAGTGGCCGCTCAAGCCTTGGGGATCATACGGAAATTCGGAAGGAAGCTTGGTGCACTTCACATGGCCCACTTCACGTGAACCAGTGCCTCTTCTTGGAGTGAAAAGGCAACACGTGGGGGCAAGCAGTCTAGTAAACAAACACTGAAGTTCATGGCCCATAGTTAGCGGCCCTCCCACTTCATGCCATTGGCACCCATAGTTTTTTTTGCGGGGGGGTTGGAATCGGTGACAAAAACTTTGCATTGTTGACAAAAATGATGCTCTTTCTTTCCTGTTCATGCCAACAGTCAAAAACCATCAAAAGATTTTAAAAGGCTACCTAAGGCAGCTCCAGGTCTCTGGTAGCTTAGAATGTCTAAAGACCCGTTGGATATTCTCTGTGAGCAGCTGCTAGTCCATGACATTCTACCCTCATAGTATGTCTTGGGGGATATTGTGGGATCAAATATATATATATATATATAACCGCTTGCAATAAAGGTGCTTAACTGCCAAATTAGCTAGGTCTGATCGTGGCGGTAGTCCTGTCACTTGTTTCTATGCTGTATAATGCTCTGGTCTCTGCAAGCAGCAGCTCTCCGGGGTGTCGGCAGGATGACAACAATGTGATACCATCTGAACAATCCAAGCCGATCTCAATGCCAGTAGTTGCGCGGATGTTTAGATTTTTGGGTCTTTCCCAGGGCCTAATTCCAAAACCTAGGTTTGGGCATTCTGCTCCAACCTTTTCCAGCTTCGTTCGATTCCACATCCACTTTTGACACTTGTTCTGTCGCCTCATCGTACATGGAAGCAGAACCCTGCACCAGGGTCCATCTGGCCACGATCTTCCAGCTCTCCCCCAGCCTGTGCGGCTGAGCGCGGATCACTGATCATAAACACCCATGTAGTGAACTTGTCTAACAGGCAACGGTATGGTTTGGCCGTTCGGCCATGAAACGAAGAAGGGCTGTAGGGGCGCATCATGCCTTGGAGAACTTCAATCTGCTCAAAACAATCTTTGACCGACTCGAACTCCAATTCCCGCCGCAACCACAATCAACTGCAAGAATGAAGAGCAAACTTTGCTTAGCATTTGACTTGTATAGTCTGTCTTTGCTGAGGCCAATTGGATGAAGGTGTTTAAGGTTGGACGAAACAAAAATCATCACGAGGGCCTTCCTTGTGGACCCTGAGGGGGGCTTGGCGCAGCACCAAATACATCATTTTCAAGTTATCTGCATGTTTTTTGCTTTCCAGGCCGCAGCCCTCATCAAAACCAAGGCAATTGGCATCTGCATGCATATATTTGTTTTGATGTCATTTGCAGCTTGTGATGGATGGAAGTGACTCCCCCAACCCCGTGCCAAGAAAAACGCGACACGATGGGGGGGGCCTTTGCTGGATGTGGGCCTTGGCATGCTCGGTGCTGTCATATTGCTTGTAGGCCTCAAAGGCCCACCACATTGCATTCCACTGCAAGCTCGGAAAAGAGAGATACTTCATGTTTGTGTGTTGGGCAAAGAGGGTGGAAACTGAATTTGTGGAAATATTTGGGGAGGGGGAAGTTCGCGCGGTTGGTCGGCTTCCAGACTGTCTGAGGCGGCTACTAACAAGTTGTTTTTTCTATTTATCTGTCTATGTATGTATGTTTATATCTGTATAAATGTATATATATATATGATCACTGTGCGAATTCGGCCTTTCACATGGACATCTTCATCCTTTAGGGATTCCACCCTGCGCCAACCTGCTGCTCTCTAAAGAATCAGCATCCATCAGCAAAAGGCCTCTAAAACATGAATTTTAAAATACAAACACTAAAGAATCAGACCTGCTCAAACTCCACAAAAAATCGCTATCATCAACCTAAAGAATCTGACACTCCGTGTTCGAGTCGAACTGTCATGAACTACATTTTAATACGTTTTATATTTGCATTATATGCGTTTTGGCGAACACAGCCCAGTGAAGCGCAGTATATCTGCTGTTGAAACTATTGAAGACATGTTTGATACATTTTGATACTATCTGTGAACAGGAGCTGCATCTCGAGCAAGCACCTGCAGTGGTCAGTCCAAAGCGCTTCACTAAAGAATCAGACACTGATACCCTGAGATTTCAATTTGCAGCCCCCAGGCTCCAGTTGAAACAAAATAGGGTGGTTGTACCACTGGTTTGCTTTCTTTATGGCACCTGCCAAGGGAAACCGGGAGAAAACAATTCGAATGTTCGCTGACAAGAGATTGGGCGAGTTGTTCGCACAGTTGTTGTCAAAACAAAATTTTGCAGAATTGTTGTTCGCAAAGGAATTCGTTCACTCAATTCGGGCGTTGTACATCTTGAGTGTTGTTGGTAACTTGGGAAACAGGGCGTGGGACGAAGCGCTCGCGCCACTTAATTTCGCAGGGACAACCCCGCGCCAAAGCTCTAATTCCGAGTTCTTCCTCCTCCAAAGGTTTCCTGATTCCACTTTTCATGATTTGACTGACCTCTTGCATCTAACACAAACAATATGACTACACCTATGACGTTCCATTTTAGTGAGTGACACAGGCGCTATGGTTAATAAATCCTGTTGAACCTCTTGCATCCACCAAAAGTCGATCCAATCGTTGCCAAGCATGTGCCTTCTGCCCCTGAGTGGCACAAATAAACGAATTGGTTGCTAATCCTTTGCATCTGATTGCATCTGAACCGCTTTGAGTTCCTGAGCCTTGCAAATGTTGCTCAACGGGTCAAGGGAAATGACTGGTTGACAATTCAATCTGATTTGCATCGACCTCATCAAAACAATACCAAACACCAAGATTGCACAGTGACGGTCTCAGGCTGGCCGGCAATCACTAAAGCTGCAACGGAAAGAACAAAGAAAACCAGCGCCAGCTTCAAGCTGCTGCAGCTTCCTCAGCACAGCTTTCGTTTTCGAAGTACCTTCGGAAATCTGGCCTTCGTCCGGACGAAGTGAAACAGCCCGAGAGCACCGACCTTCAATCTTGAATTGGACTGGAAGATGACATTGGACAAATGGGCTGACCAGTTGCGGAGCTCCAGACCGATGAGAGCGACCTGGTGCACATGCCAATGTCGATTGTCCACGGTTTACGCCGGGTCCAAGAGGAAGACCCTTGTTGTCTCGTTCATATAGAATTTGCAACCAAGACGTTTAGAATTTCAATGGTCCGTTGGGCAGCTACCAAAGCGCGAGGGAAGTATTCACACTTCTAAAACTGACACGCCTGCAATGCTCAGGCCCGTTTTTGTTGCTTTTCCTAGACAGTGTCAAGGAGTCTATATAGAAATATATATATATATGTCCTTTCGCTTCAAAGCATGAACCAGTTGAAACCCGGTTTCCGAACCATCACCCCTGCTAAAAGCATCTGGTGGCTCTGCCTGCTCCTCTATGTCAACCGAGCAATCTTCCACAGGAATTGCGCCTTCAGTAGGAACAGTATTGTCGACTTTGTCTTCCTTGGTCTTGTTTCGTCACGCTGAGCCAAGTCATCTTCGTGACCCTTCTCTTAGGATCTGAGGGGTCCTGCATGTCCTGGTGCAAGACTTCCACCCCCTCAGCATCAGACTGGCCCTCAGGCTCATCTAAGCACTCCTCTTCCCTCTTCCTGCAAGTCTACAGCGCCATGCGCAGGTTCCCCTCAGAAAAACAGGACGCTAGCCAAACAAAATTAGTTGTACAGCAACAACGCAATTACTATTCCATATTAATATTGCTTGAGGGTAATCATTAACTCACTCAATGAATGCATACGCTTTCGGACTGACTATTCGCAAGCTTCATGACTCGCGACTGATAGCTGTCCTCAGTCTGGTTGGCCTTGCGAGCTCGGGGTCTTTTGTCTGGGGTCAATGCCGTTTGACACAAAATATGCTCCTCACATCTCCTCTCTGTATCCAAGCGAAGGTACAGCTCGCACCTGTTGCGGTGGTTGAAGCGTGTCAAGGCTGCTTGCCCCTGGCGCTTTCATGACTTTGCAGAGCTGAGAAAGTGTTGCCGCCTTCATGTTGGTCAGCCTCCGCTCAGCAGCAAAGACTGGTAAGGTCATCCAGTCACCCTGCTGCTCCAACGCAAGCTCTGCACCAGTAGCCAAGGGCATCCAAGGGTTCTTCTGTCACTGCAACCTCGCAATCATTCAGGCCAGTCAAAGAAATCCTTTTCAGGCCAGTGTCCCCGTGAAGCTCCGGAACCCACGCACGCACTCTATGGACCGGCAAATGGCTGATCATGCCAAGAACTTCTGTGTCGAAGACCCAGAGCTGGATGTCTCTCTCGTGGTGCATCACGTTCGCGACCTCCTAGGGCTGGTGAAGATCCGCTGCCATCAGTTGCTGCCGCTGACATCTTCGAAGCCATCGCCATGACTCCGCTACCACCGGTGATAGCTTGAGAAACAGTATGTGGGACGAAACGCTCGCGCCATCTCGCGCCCCTTTCCGCAGGGACAGCGGCTGGGCTCCTACCGTAAGTAGAAAAGGCGGCTGCGGTATGCAGCATAGCCTCAACAACTGAATGCCAAACCAGTCAAAGAATGCAACTGTCATCGACGATTCGGCTCTCTTCAACGACCCTCGTGAGTGAGGCATGTCAGTGGCATATGTCGATTGAAGCCGTTTCAGAATCATTGATGAATATATACCCAGCGCCTAATATAAAGTGGTACGGTATATACCTGAATGTCACGAATGTCGCACGTGTCCTTTTTCAGGTGATGTTGATTTTGTACAGTATCTGCTTTGTTCCTCAGATGCTTCACTAGCTGCAGGTCCAAAAGGAGGCCCTCCGGATACGTGGAAGTGTAGAATAGCTCAGAAACATGATTGCATCATATTGGATCTCGTGCGGTACCTTCAAAAACATACATAAATATATATATATAGTCACTCTTAAGGATCGACAAACCATTATTATAAAGACATACAAAAGCACCATACGACGCCCGGTGTCTAGCCTTAATCGCTGCAAACAATGACAATGCTGGACACCCAGTGGGTCAATGCTGTATTCAAAAGCTATAGGCGTTCTGAATGCTGTCTGCACAGGAATTTGTTTGGAACTCGAAGGCAAAAGAACCGATTGCAAGCAAAGCAGCAATGCGATTGTAGCCATAAGCTACACTGAAGGGAGCCTCCAGGGGCGCGAGCACTCTGAGATCTTACGGCACTCAGAAGCAACGTCTTAGACTTGGACCATCTTGGATTCCGGTGAACGACCATGGTTGATAAGGTCCTCTGAGAAACACCCGTTTCGACCGCGGACACTCCAGGGTAGGCTCCATGCTCAGTTCCTCTACCGATTCGTAGACCGATTAGTACATCCATAAAACCCAAGTCTGAAAGAACCTTTGGTGATATGTTTGGGTGCATGTTGGTCAGATTGCGCATTGTCATTTTGTGTCCCAAGCCTTGGACCAGTCATCTGACGGGATTGCTTCCCTCCGCACTTGTCAAATTGTTGTGTGGAGGCACAAAGGGGCTGTTCTTTTAACTGATCCGGATCTGTTCTGGCAGATGATCTTGTCAGCACCCAACAATACATGTAGGTAGGAGAATGAATCCCCTCTACACCAGCAAGTTCTCACTCTTGTGAAGCAGTGGTTTACATGATGGAACTGCCCACATCGCCTTCGTTGTGAATGGGGCAAACTGGTCGTGGAGAACAGCAGATCAATCCCCGCACTGACAAGATGGAGGAGAAGGCTGGACAATCACCCGGCTGGATTCCTGAAATACAACAATGGACGACTTAATAATTCATGGATTGAACGTACAGTTGTGTGAAGAATCCAAGTCACCTTTCTTTACCAACCACAGTCGCTTGACTGTATTGCGGGGTCTCTGAAAGAGCTGAATTTTCATGGAAATCCCAGCTTTCCCCGACAACACCCTGCGGATCGGCAGATCGGGATCGCGTTCGCCGACCCTATTCTGCCCTGCGGCTCCCAAAGCACTCAGTAATGGGGGATTCTTCCTTCGGAACACCAGGCATTTCTATTTGGGACAATCCGGCTCCTCTCGACTCGTCAACAAACCACTCACATTGTCAGCTGGTCTGCTCACTCAGCTCACCTGATTGGCAACCTTCTTTCCCAGTAGGGAGACGTTGCCCAGGCGGGGCTTATAGATGGGCTCCCAGTGGAGCCGCCACTCCTCAGGCATCGAACGGAGCCGACATGTGGGGCTTCAGCAAGCCCTAAACCGCTACACATCGATTGCTTAATAAATGACCACTTAAGAGCAACAAACAGCCGGGCACGGCAGGAGATACACTTCCACCAGCTAGGTCCCAAGAATGGCCTCGTGGGTGAGTTCTTCGCGCTTGGCCGGCCATGTCGCTGTTGGACAGCCAGCGCTGGGCGCTCACCCGGTTCCCGACCCGCTCGACAGGGCACCGGGTGCACCATTTCCGTAGGTTTTGGTCCAGTACCCCTCTGCAAACAAACATGGATCGTGAAAACGGACCCCTGCAAGGCTATCTATTCCCATCTACCACGCAGTGGTTTTCAGGGTCCATGATACTCCATGATAATCTGCAGGAGGGCATTGCTCATTTGTAGCCTTGCAAGCCCTTGCAAGCGTTGGTGTTCCCCATCAAAGCGTGCGGGGACCTCCGTTCGTCGCTTCCCTCGCTTTCGTCCACGTTGCTGCAAACTTGTTGCCAGTCGAGAAAGGCTCCTGAAATGAGGCAACAAATGGCCGAAAAGCCAAACACAATGAGGCAACCAACTAATATATTAAACCTGTCCTGTTAGGGGAGCAGTTCGGACTTAAAATCTGAACGGAAACCAGCTCCTTCTGCTCTCCTGGGCAGGGTTTGTAGTGCGAGTCGTGCTGCCTCAGCGCGACCGGAACCCAGTCGCACGACCGCCGGGGCATCGTGTACAAAGCCGTCGGTCGGCTCACGGATAACATGTTGCACAGGTACAACAGGACACCGTGTCAAACAAACAGGAGCTTCTGCACACCCTTTTTTATAGGACCCAGCTGGAGCTCACAGCTTTAAAGCAGGTTTTCTAACCATCCAAGCTGCTCATCATGTAGTCGCAGGGTTGCAACCTCGTTGTGCTGTGACCAAGTCTTACGTGGACATAGCCAACAACCAATCAATTGTAGATGTCGTATAGAGTTGCCAGTTGTTTCTCCCAACAACCAATGCTTCGTGATGGATTACCTGTGCTTCCATAGTGGGGCAAGCAATTCTGAAATCGATTCGTTGCCTTTTCACGGGAGAGCACAGCAATGCACAGGTGATTTGTGTTGTAGGATTTCATGTGTGCTTGGAGCAGTAGTGTAGTGCAGTTGGCACCCGGCATCCTCAGTAAACGGTACATGAAGGACGCAAGCAAACATTTGGTATTATAGAAATAATAAATAAATACAGTGTATATATATATACACGATATTCACACATGCTGTGGCAGCAACCTAACATAGTGCAAAACACTGTGAAGAACTGCACCTGGAAGGAGCTGTGGGTCTGTGGGTCATGTTTTCTGCCAATCAACCCCAGTTGGAGAAACAGGACGAGGCAATCAGATTGAGAACAAAACACCACAGAACACGTCAAGAACATGTGACATCGCCATTGCCATGCCATTGCCGCTTTTTGCGAGGACGACTCCCTTCGGCTGTTCCTCAGTCCCATTGGTGGCCAGTGGCATGTGGATGATCCAGTTGGTCGCTGATGGCTGCTCCGTCTTCCTGCTTGGTATTGCCTGGAAGAACATCCTTAGATCCACGGACTTCATTGGACGAGTCTTCCTGTTCCAAACATACCCTGCACAAAGAGAAGCTGCACTGACTATGGACTACCAATAAACCACCACAACTGGTCACTGGTCAAGCCAGTGAACCTTCCCATCTGCAGCGTCACCAACATCATCCATCTGTGCGGCCAGGATGCCTCCGCCCACACGCGCAATCCCGCAAAGCAGCCATCCTGTCCAATGCGGATTGAGTCTTTGCTGCAGCTTGGCCAAGCGGACTCCGACCCTCCAACCCAGAGGCGGGAGTGCGATTTAGCCAGGTCTTGCCATCCACTTCAACGGGGCTTGGAGGGCTCTTGTTGAAGCTTCTTTAGCATAGCACCCAGGCCAGGATGCTCGATACTTAAACACTTAGCCGAACATGCCCCAACCCCGATCACCTTGTAAAGCAACTTCATCAAAGCAACTTGATCAAAGTCTGGAAAGGTTTGTCTATGGTGCATCTTAAATGTCGACGTAGGCTTACAGTATTCACCCCCCCTTCAATGTCAACAAGGTCAACAAGGCTTGAGATTGGAGGTGTTGGAGACCAAATCCCTACAATATAGGTGATGACCTGATGATGGAATGGATGATGGTTGACGGGTGCCTGTATGAGCTTGAGAACCTTAAGATGTTGATATATATATATAGATTTGTTTTATTACAGTAAAGGAAACTAGATTGATTTTGCTAGAGAGGGTTTGGGGATTGTGGAACAAAGGTTGCTTGGGAGAACATTGGCGGCTTGGATTGTAGCTTTAAACCAACAGCATGAACTATCTGTATTTTCTGGTGACAAATGGGCTTGATTGATAGGGAGAGGCTAAATTACAGTACTTAAAAATATTTTGGGCTCGAGCTGGGCTTGACTAATAAAGGGAGGTTACTTAATACATCTTAATACTATGTCAACATTAGCCAGTTGGAAGACTTACCCTCAGGTGCGCAAACGCATTCCCTCTCTGTTGAGGAATGTGAATGTGTGGCACAGTCAGACCGACGAAGGCTACAGGCTTATGTCGGGAACCAAAACCGATGAACGACCTGAGAATCCTTGAAAACCTGGTCGGGTCAAGTCCCCATACCCCTAGTAAACCTTATCTGACCCCTCAGTTTCCCTGGAACAGGACGGTTATACCGTTAATGTAGACTCTTGTTTAATACACCCCCCCATTTGAATTGAACATCCTCTTCAAAGGGGGGGGTTATGAATCAAGTCTACGAGTCTACATTATATACATAGACCTTGTTCAATCTGTTCCGGTCTTTTGTGGGGAATCCGGACATGAAGCCCCCCAAATCGCTTGGGGCGAACGACTTTTGCCTGGGCAGGTGAAAGGACGCTCCTACGCTCCTCGTGGCTCAGATCCGGAAGCGCACGGCTGGCGGTGCCAGGCGCACCGAAGGTGTAGATCCCTTCATCCACCTCACACGGTTCGCGGCTACGTTGTCGTTTGCTTGGTTCGGTTGGTTTGGAAAGGTGGTCGGTTTTCGCTGGTTGGTTTGTTGGCCTCTTGCAAGCATGGCTTGCAGATATGAAGGCTCAGATTTAGGCAGCTACAGGCTACGTTGGGCTAAGCCGTCACTTCTTCCCATCTGTGGTGTGGCCACCCAAGATTCCAAACAAATGATTCCTCCAGTTAGGCCCAGTGAAGTGAAGATCTACATTTCACCCACTTCGGAATACTTACAGCACCAATGTGGCCGTTCCATTATAGCAGTGACCATTGCTTCCAGGTGCTTCTAGTAGGTTGCCCCGCCGGGAGATGATGCTACACTTGAGCTGGAAACAAGATCCTGATGGGTACGGCTGTATGGTCAATGTCTTTATGCATCACCGTCATCACCGTGATGTAAGTCCCTAGTATGTAGACAAAGGCAACTAAGGTGTCCTTAACGGATGTGTTGTGGACACAACCTCTCACTTTCTCAAAATGTATTGAACCATTAGGGGGGTGCTCTTAGAGGTTCCTATTGTTGAGGACCAGGGTGCAAGCTGACTGTTTCTTCTTCACCCCCCCCCAACGGGCCCCAACGCAGACCGTCTCTACTACAAACATCCCATCACCCCACCTAGATGGACAGTTTCCTGCCCAGGCCACCGTGCCATAGCGCGTGCGAGTGAGGTCCTCAGCATCATCCAAGCCAGCCATATGGTTCATCGCTGGCATCTTGTAGAGGAATGCCTGAGGCCACGAGATGGATGCCATCATTTGCTTCTTGAACAAGCGCAATTCTTCTCTCAGGATGAGAAATCTCGTTGGACTTTTACCATCAAAGGCGTGATTCATGCGGCTCTTCCAAGAAGATATGGACCTTGGCCAACGACCTCGTGTAGCGGACGTCTTCAAGATCCCATCCATGTTGCCCTGACAGCCCTCAGGCCAAAATGCAGCACATCAAAACTAAAAAACTGACCATGTGAGCGTGCCTGCCGGTGCCCAGACATCATCAGCATCACAAAGCCGATGGCCAAAGCGCCGCTCACCGCGCAAAGGCCCCTCTGGAGAAGATTCGGGGGCCTCTTCAGGCGAGGCCCGGCTCTCCCAGGATGCGAAGCGAGCCTTTTGGTGGGCAACAACCATTGAAGAAAACGTCCCAACCCCAAAAACGTCCAAACATATCCGTGTGCTCTCTGTCTGAAGTTGCAAATTGACACCTTTGACCTTGTGCTGCCGCGTCGATGTTGTGCATGATGCGTGTATATATGATATATGATATATTAATATACAATTTATATATATATATATAACTTACATAACTCAACAACTACCTGAGGCGGGTTTAAAGCCAAAACATGTATTCTTACGTACATCCTGGTACATCTCTAATATATATATATACTATTATTGTTATTATCGTAATATATATTATTACTTTTATAATATATATATATATATATATTGGGCATTGTTAAGATCATAGGGTCCTGGGTCCTGTTCCCCTTGAGACTCCAAGTCACCTTGGCTCAAGCAACTCCTCCTCTATGGAGTCCTCCTGAATCCCAGCGGTGAAGGAAGCCAGTTTGAGGCGGTCTTGCCGCACAGCCCGTTAAACCAAATGAGGGGACTCCAACTCAATGTGAAAATCTGCGGCGATATATTTCCATTGACCTAGACTTCATCACATGGAAATAGACCTTAAAACTAAACCAATCCTCTACAAAGGGCTCATTTCCACATCCGCACACCCAATCTAATCCACCATGTCTCTTCCTATCAGGAGTGCCCTGCCGCAGGCCGTCTGACAAAGAGACATGGCGTCATGGGAGAAGCTGAATCAACTTTATGCGCTCAGTAGGCGAGCAAATTGCCACGGCAACTAATTAGTGGCTCAAGCAAACCAGGGGCTCACGCTACCCACCTCAAACAAATGACAATTTGGAATCGTTGGTCCCTCTTCCTTGGGGTGCTACTTGATACTCGGATTGTCTGGGCCCTGCAGGAGTGGAGTCACATTGTGGAGTATGAAGTCTCTGGCCCGCATTGAACCCCCAAACCGCCCAATGTAGGTAGACGTAGGTAGATATGCCACACATGAAAACCGCCGGCCGGTGCAGCAAGACCAGCCTCACCAGACTCCATGCTGCTGAGCGACATGGCCACCGCCGCACCAACACGCGGTCCGCAACACGGGCGACGTCCCCAGGGCGAGGGGTTGCGACTAGTCAGCCGAGTCGAGGAAGCCGAGGAGCACTCAATCAGCGTGGGGTGACAGTTCTGACATGCCTCAGGACTTATAACTTATATATATCTATATATATATATGACATATGTGTGCATAGACGCACACATGGAGATATGGAGACACAAGTTTCTTAATTAGACATTGGTTACCCGAGACTCAAGACAGATCTTGGCACAAACCTGAGATCAAGATCCCATGCAAGATTATTCTGCCAGTGTTCAAACTCATCGGTTGCCCGCACTCTAGTTTAACTGGACGTTCCTGAAAGCTAAAACCATGCAAAGGGGAAAGGCACCCCATCTCCTATGAATCACCTCCTTCTGCCGACTGCAAATGCTTTACCTTTACCACCTTTATCAATGGGTTCTGGTCTTTGACCATGGATCGCCTCGCTCGAACAAAGCAAGCAAAAGCGCACCTCCCCCCAAAGCCATCTTCGTTTGCATTCATCTGGCAGCACCCGTGGCCATCCAAGGATGTCCACGGTGCGAAAACTCGGTGTTCAGTCCAATGGAGCCATGTTCACCCCCAATGTACCCGATACCACTGTGTATCAGCGGGCATGTATGGGGAGCCCTGACTGGACCGTGGCACACGTGACCCGTTGAGCCGTGCTCCCACTTGGCCCCTGCACTGGCCGGGGTGGAGGCCTAGGTGAAGGTCGAAAGAGGTCGAGATCGGCCACCTGGTTTGGTCCAACCCTGGTGGAACCCACGTGTCAGCAGGAAGTTTGCACTTGCAAACGGTCATTAATGGTCATCTTGCGATGTCGTGTCAATTAAGATGTGGTATTTTGATCATGTAACATGCGTTATGTGAAAAAGCGAACATGAAAGGGAAGCTGGGCACCACTGGACTCATGGCAGTGTGGCTTGAACCAATGCATGCGTCTCCGCGGGCACATCAAACGAGCGAGACGAGACTCGGGGAGTAGAATGAGTCCGTTTCCCGCCTTGGACACTTCAAACCGGTCCAAAAGTTTAAGAGAACTGAAATGCAGGAACTTAAAAAGCAAAAGGCTGAGACTTTCAAACTAACAATGTTGCGCGGGAGAATCTGGGTCACCTCGTCAATGCCGACCGATCTCTGATCGCAACACACCAAGGTGCACAATGAAGCTGGCGGAACTTCCAGGGACCTGTCAAGGTCAGCAGCAAATCAAGTCTGGTAGCCATGAAGTTCATGAAGAATGACTGACTACGCCAAACACCGTAGAACTTTTGACATCATCACTATGACTATCACCATCAATTTTGTCAGAATAATGTTGGCTTTCTTTCACTCATATTTGAGCTGGGGCAGTCATCCCCCCCCACGACCTGACTTGTTCATTTCCTAGCCCTACAGTAGTTCTTGACACATTGATAAACCTGAGATCTCTCCGCACTTCATGCACTGATCCCTGACAAGATCTCACGAACAAGTCATAGGCACAACTCGATAAATCTCCCAGCAACCTTGGTTATCTTTGTGGATCAACGATTTATAGCCGTTCAAAGCCTTTCATGGTGGTTTGGAGGTCAATACATGGAGTGTCTGGGAATGTCTTCCCCAAACATCACGAGGCCGTAACTCGACCAGTGATCCGTGTCTAATGCTGCATGGTCCCTCATAGGCTCAAGGTCAGTAGCTGCTGCTGACAGTTGAAAAAAAAACAAACAAACAACTACAACTGTCGCATCCTTCGACTCGCCACAAACCAACTTCCATATTCAAAGACGCTGAGTTGTCCCCAGCACAAAGGCAAAGACTCGAAAGGTCAAAGAATCCCTGAAGTACAACTTGGGGTCTCGCCAACCCAGAGATACAAACTCTGGTGCTGATGAATAGGGTCTTCAATTCATCTTCCTGCTTGAGGGTCGAAAGAACATGTTGGACCATGGCATGTTGAAACAACTCAGTCCCGTAATTAGCGTCGGACAACTTACTTTCGTTCACGAAGCAAAGTGTTCATCAAATGTCCGGCGATGTGTCGAACTGGGGAAAGGGTGAGTCTCTCTCTCTCTCTCTCTCCCTCTCTCGTTAGCTTCCTAAAGCAAATTCGAGGGTTCATTGCAGTGCTCCGACTGTGCTTGCTTGCGGGGAAAGAGTCTAGTGCCTGGGTGCATGGCTGCATGGCTGTATGGCTCCTTCGGCACAAACAGTCTGGTTAAGTCTGGAAGTGACACTCCTGGAACCATCAGCTAAGGACCTATATGTCGGCCCCGGCCCTTGGAAGACCATTTAACTCTACAAGGGGGTCCTGGCCAGTTTCCATGATTCTTGGAGGGAAGGCTATTTCGGAAGGATTGCCAAAGCTTCTTGGCCCATCCTTCCACCCCGACCAAGCTCCAAATGAAGACTCTGAGCGCCAAGCCGGGGACGAAGCTGCTGGCTCTGGATTCGGGGCATTGCTCGGGCCTGATGCAGCTGCTTTTCTGCTGAGAGGTCGAAAAACATTGAAAACAAAGCACAAACAACGGGTGGATAGCATGGCTGCTGCGAACATGCTGTTTCAAAACAGGACTGTTTACCAGGACTGGTGGGGACCCTGCAACAGGTCACCAACAAGTCAAAACATGTCAACACATTTTGGTGGGTCGTGATATGTTATAGCTCGATATAGCTTGTGTTCACCCTCATATTCATTCATTTTGTAAGTCTCTCCTTCCGACTTCCGGTGAGATATCTAAAACCGGAACCGAGTCTTCCTGCGAAATCAACGTCTTAGCAAGTTGTATTGATCAAACTAATTACTTTGCCCTTTCTATCCAAGGGCCTTAGCAAGTTGGTACCAGTTAGCTGTTTGGAACATCAAACCAAGTACTCGCAAACGTCATAAACTTGAAACCAGAGAACGCTGTAAGAAAGCATCCATTTGTGCCGCAAGCGTGCACTTATGCCGCATAAGCTCTCTCTCTCTCTCTATTCCTTCACCTTTTCTTTGTTTGTGTCGCAAAAAGCAATCGTCCAATGTGGACTGCCGTATGCGTCCGCGGGTGTATATTGGGCATCCAAGGTTCGGTATGTCTGGGTTCTGCTCCCATAATTATATACTCCTCACTCCTCTTCACTGTTTCTTCTTCTACTTGGTTTGAGCAAATCCGGTTGTTTGAGGCCTCCCCAGGCTCAAACCATCTTTTGGATCGGACCTCGCCCTTTTTGGATGCCACTCGCCGCCGCGCTTAGCCGCTTAGCTACGCGAGATCCCAACAACCCTCCCATCTGCAACTGGGAGGAGCATCTTGTTGGTTCAAGACGCCATTGGCAGCATTCTGCAGAACTCAGGGCTGTGCTTCGGTTTCGGGAGAGCTTGCTCTCTCTCTCTCTCTCACTGAAGCAATCACAGCCCATAAAAGAGTTCAAGTTCAATCTGAGGCCGTGCTGAAGAGGCGCAACTGTACTTGGTCCTCCTTGTGTCCAGTGCGGAAGTTAATAAGTTTCGTTCAAATGATCCAACATGGAAATTACCGAAAATCACTGTTCCATGTGGCCCACCGGCGGCCCACTACGACGTCAACAAGGGCATGCATCGAAATAGGCCCCAGCCCTGGCCCAATGGGTTGAAAGGTCTTTCTTCCTTCCAGGGGGGTAGACTGGCCTTGGAAGACTGACCCAGTTGAACTCCTTTGGCTTTGCACACCACATATGCAAACAGCAAGCTTTCTCTTTCAAACTCTTTCGAAGGCTTCGCGAACTTCGATCTGCTCGCCGAGCCGCTCCACTCCTGGAGCGGACTTGACGTGCGGTCACGACTCTTTGCATTTGCACCGACTCTTTGTGTCACGTGCCCAACGGTGACCAGCGATTCGCCAAAGAGAGCCCAAAGAGATCACACCTCGGAGCACGACCGGTCATTTCTGACGTCTGATATGCGAGTATCCCTGCCCCTGCACGCTTTCGAGCGATCGGTGACCATTGTCCAGCATGGCATGGCTGCACCCTAAAAGGTGCAAAACGCAGCCAGGGTAGTGCATTTCTAAATGGGTTGCAGCATGCTGTGTCAACCAAGAATTCAGCAAGGCGCCCATGAGCGGCTTGCTGAGCTTCACGAACCAAGCAGGTAAGCCTTCTTCCGAGTGACCCACCTGTAGTGTGAGCGTGGGAGTGCTCCAGCTTAGTGTGGCGTTTTGTTGCACTTTTGGGAGGGTGGAGGTTGGAGTATGTTGGTATGAGGAGGGACGTGAGAACTCGAAATAGATTCGGTTTAAGGGGTCGGCAATTGGTTTCTTCAGTGGTGTTTGCTCCGATAAGGAACCTGGAACGGCGAAGTTATGATCAAATATAGCTTTTCCAAAAAATCTCACATTGACACGAATCATCGGAGGTGAAACCTGCCCAGGTTTCAGCGTCGCATGTTTCCCCACCCAGGCGCGAGCACCTGGAGGAGCTCTAGCTGCGCCCAATCCGCCAAATAGCTCAAGACCATACCAAAAAGCCAAACACTCAGAAGAACCTGAGGATCAAGGGGGATCCGGGATCTAGATAGAGTCGAAGGTACATCTACCTCGGCAAACGTACCAGTGTGCTTAGAGATCTGGGATCGACATCTCAAAAGCACGCGGCACTATTTGGTATTTATGCCATCTGCTCTGCTCACTCGCTTACATGTATCTCTCTTAAATGGTGCAGCTCAAATGCTGAAAGTTGGTCACTGGCATTGGGTCCAGTGAGCCAAACTCGGGGCTCGTGGCTTGGAGGGCACATATATTGCGTAACTTATAAACCAAATATAGTAGAATATGTTTGACATATATTAAATTTATATACAGCAATAGTCGTAATATATATATATATATACATACTAGTATACTAATAATACACTAAGGGGTCGCCTGCTGGTCTGCAGCTAAGCCTGGCTCCAAGGTCTCTCTAAACCTTGAGTCAATGCAAACCTCCCTCTTCCCAAATAAGAAATGTCACCTTTCTGCGATTTTCTGTCTTCTATCTGGGCCCCTTTCAAGCGGGTGCAGCAGACCCAACAGGTGGTGCTAGGCAAATGATGTTGCGAGTGCTCTTCTTGACAAATCAGTTCAGCTGCATGCTGTCATAGGCCACTTCTAGGGAATGTTGCAAAACTGTGTTCTCTTTGACTCAAGCAAACAATTCATGAGACACTCCCTGTCCCCTAGAACATCAACATTCTCATCCCCATGTCACCCCAAGGCCCTCCACTGTCCAAATCTCCTGAGTCTTCCCCCCCTGTTCTCCCATTTCTGCATCTCCTCGTTCCCAGTTCTCCACCGAGCCTGAAGGGCGGAGCGGCCGCCAGCGATGTGCGCGATGAACGCCAAGGAGGCTGAGTTGATTGCAGGAAGAGAGGCCAAAGTGGCGAAGGCAAGACCACCTGGGGATGGATCAGAAATGAACATATCCCATTCGGCTTGCTTTATTTACTAAATATCATTTCATATCCACTGTTGGGTGGCCCTATCTGAAGTTTTAGCCATTCAGTTCTGGGTTATTGCACTCGGTTTCTTGATTGATTGCAGTCATGGGAATTTTTAACACCAAAACCAACAAACAAGCTGCCTTTGGAGGGAAGGGCTTGGCGAGGTTCACCCGGAGCAATCCCCAAGTTGATGGCGACACCCCAACATGTGTGGAGAATCAAGCGCCCTTCGAACTCTAGCCCTGGCAGCTCTGCCTGGCGCCCTTTCTACTGTTGGATCCCCGGTTGAACCTTCCCAGTTCACATCCCCTTGCACTCAAAAGAATACGGTCTATCTATCTACATCTATCTACCTAAAATAAAAGGGAAGCTAAATAATAAGAAGACCACAATGAATATTACAATATACTACACACACCTATACACATACCGAACAATATATCGTCTGTTTGGAGCTGTGATTCAGGTCGACACGGGATCCGAGGGTCGGCCGTAGAGATCCGAGGGTCAGAAGGTAGTATCTAGAGGTAGCTAGGTAGTAGCTAGGTGCAGCTAGGTAGCTTAAGTAGCTATTTTAGGGCGCAGGAAAGCTCACGCTTCTTCGAAGCCGCTCCCCCGCCGCCCTATTAGGGCAATCGGGGGGAGGCTCACGTGTTTAGTTGGAAAAAAGGGGAAAGACACAAAACTCAACCCAAAAGAAGATGCTTCACTTCTTTTTTTTGCTGCAAAAATCGGACAAAGGAGCATCAAGCGGAGGAAGGTGGACTTGGAAAAACATTCCTCATGGACTTGGTGCTAAGTCCCCCGAACAAAGGCCAAAATACGAAGTCGTCACAATAAGGATCCCGAATAGTCCCCATCTATAGCCTGTAGTGGTCTATTAGTGGTTAGTAGGGTCTGTGCCATCTATATAAACCATACTCTCTACATCCGAAGACACCTGTGGCGCCGGCCTTCTGCAAAGCCTTGGTGAAACATGGCATGAGCTCGCGACGACACTGTTCGCGGCGGCGTCTCTGTGCATCTAAACCGGCGGCGTCTCGGTATGTTCACGACGTGAATGGCATGTTCATCCTTGTTTGGCCACTGGTTGATAGAAAATTCAACACGGACCTGGTGAGACCTTCAAGCCCCCTGCTCTACCAGGCAAACAGTTCTGCAAAGTTCAGCGGCATCGAGCAGCAACTTCCATTTGCAGGATAATCAAAGGTGAATGGCCCAGGTAGCTATTCACTCGAGATTCCTCGCTCATTGTATATTTATGAAAAGTATTTAAACAACCTTGTGGCGATGTAAACTATATACACCCAACTTACGTGATGTTCCACAGCCTTAGTAGTAACACGCAGCTTCAGTAGGAAAGGGCAAAAGAGTGGCCAATTGGCCCTTCATATTCAATGGCCACACCAGCAGTGGTAGAGTGGTACTCTTCCCAAAGATCATGGCGACACTTCCGTGTAGCCTGGGGCCTCTGAGGTCTCAAACGAAGCAAAAATGAACTTCCGTTCCGGCGCCCGTTGGTCCAGAATCACCCACGAACGTCGGATCTCAGGTTCAAGACAAACGTGGTTCTCTTCTCTTGGTTCTCAAGTCCAAGACAAGAAAGAATGGTGACATGGTTCTCTTGGTCTCTCAGTTCAAGTCTTGATGGTCAGGAAAGAATGGTGACATTTCCACATCTGACGATACGGGCCACGGGCTGCGCGCGGGATGAGTCTCAAGCTGCCCAACAGGTCCGCTTCTACGGTATGGTAAGATAAGATAAGGTAAGGTATTAGTATGGTACGGTATGTATGCATGTGTGTGTTTATGCATATCGTATCTGTTGCATATGGGTCATGAGTCATGAGTTCATCCCGTCCAGGTCAACCAGGAAAATCATGAAACTCGAAGAGAGCCAGCCAGGAGGCCACGGCCAAAGGCACAGCCGCATGCTCGCAAAACTGCAAGGGCAAGGCCACTGCCAGCACCGCTGCCCTTGCGGACAGCGAAAAGGGGCCACCAACGGAGGCGACAGTGCCCAGGCCACCAGCTGGCAGCAAAGCAGTGAGAAGTGATGTCAAAGCAAAGCCTAGGAATCTGCTTCTGGGATTCCCTCTGGGAGACTTCGGAAATCCGGAGTGATAGGAGTGATGCTATTCTGAGTCTGAAATCAATCAAAACAAAAGTGCAACACCACATGTTTAAGACCGCGCAACGTCCGAACTGGCCGTCAGGGCATCCAAAAATAAGGTGCATATTGTAGATTATAGATCTTCTCACGAAGCAGCAACACATTCAGCATCTTCATCAAGGACAAACCGAAAGGCCTACGATTTCCCCGACATGCCCTCCAAGAATGGAAGGCACGTGCCGGTTCACCCCAGGCTGGTTGTTCCACCTGAACTCAATGGACTTGGTCGTTCACTCTGGTGGCATGGCGTTGATAATGTAGACTCTTAAATATGTATATATATAACTAAATAATAACCCCCGAACCCCCATATTATGAAGAGGTTTCTCAATCCACATGGGCAGGGTTATTGGTCAAAAGGCTACATCAATCTGTTTTGCTTTTTCAAGTCAAGCCGAGCAGCCCAGCAACACAGATCCTAAGATCTCTTCAAAGTCTTCGGTGAACGTTTCCCACAGCTTCAGAGGTGTCCAAGACTTGCTTTGCTGTCCACTGCACTGTGAGCGCGACTCGTCAGGCAAGCTGCCACCTGGAGAAAAGCCAATCATCAAAACACCATCGCCACCACCACCACCACCACCATCACTACTACTACCACTACGTAGTGGGACAACTCTCGGCATGATCCTCCTTATCGCTCATCACCGATCACCATCGTTCCAATGGGTAAAGTTGTTAGGAGAGCACTTAATACGACTTAAGAGGAGCAGCTTCATTCTACTCCGATAACTGAAGGACGAGCATCCCAGGGACGGTCCCACTTGGCCCAGCTGTGATGAGTCATGAGTCAAGTGATGTTCGACGAAGCTGACCCTTCTTGTGCGCCAGCTTCTGCCAGTATAACAGCAAACATCCTGTACCATATTGCTGCGCAATGCAACCCAATTATGATGTGGGCAATTGTGGGACTTGTGATTTATAATTTGCTCTACCATGCTCTACCTATCTTCTATCGCATGTTCTGGAGCCCAAAGCATGTTTCCAGTTCGACCGAGTGGAAGAAACACTACAGGAAGGTGAGGCACCCACGGCTGTCACCCAGTAGGACCTTCTGGGAAGGGGAACCGGGGAGCAGTGGTGAATGGTGAATGACGGTGATGACAAAGAACTGACAGCTGTGGATCATGTTTAATTAATTGTCTCCCTCTGGTTTATATCATGCAAAAGGGCCATATCATGTCACTTCACTTCAACATGAGAAATCGTGGGTCCACGATGCATAATGTGGAGGTTGAGATCAGTGAAGAGAATGTGTTCTTGCTCTGAAGCAAATTCTTTTTCTGGATGCTACATGTACGCGTTGAGAAAACATGTTTCATGTGTACGTGGCAAGTCCTCTATGAAACATCTAGCAGCTAGCGCTGGCCTCCAACCTAATGCGATGGCCTCCGCCTAGTAGCCATGGCCTCCACCTCATAGCGATGGCCTCCACCTGGTAGCGATGGCCTCCACCTAATGGCGATGGCCTCCACCTGGTAGCGATGGCCTCCACCTAATGGCGATGGCCTCCACCTAACAGCGATGGCCTCCACCTAATGGCGATGGCCTCCACCAGTAGCGATGGCCTCCAACCTAATAGCGATGGCCTCCACCTAATAGCGATGGCCTCCACCTAGTAGCGATGGCCTCCACCTAATAGCGATGGCCTCCACCTAATAGCGATGGCCTCCACCTATATAATAGCCATGGCCTCCACCTTGAATAGCGATATCCTCCACCTGGTGGCGATGGCCTCCACCTAGTAGCCATGGCGATGGCCTGCACCTAACAGCGATGGCCTCCACCTAATAGCGATGGTCTCCAACCTAATAGCGATGGCCTCCACCTAATTAATGGCGATGGCCTCCACCTGGTAGCGATGGCCTCCACCTAATGGCGATGGGCTCCACCTAACAGCGATGGCCTCCACCTAGTAGCGATGGCCTCCAACCTAATAGCGATGGCCTCCACCTAATTAATAGCGATGGCCTCCACCTAGTAGCCATGGCCTCCACCTTATAGCGATGGCCTTCACCTGGTGGCGATGGCCTCCACCTAATGGCGATGGCCTCCACCTAGTAGCGATGGCCTCCACCTAGTAGCGATGGGCTCCACCTAATAGCGATGGCCTCCACCTGGTAGCGATGGCCTCCACCTAATGAGATGGCCTCCACCTAACAGCGATAGCCTCCACCTAGTAGCGATGGCCTCCAACCTAATAGCGATGGCCTCCACCTAGTAGCGATAGCGATGGCCTCCACCAGTAGCGATGGCCTCCAACCTAATAGCGATGGCCTCCACCTAATAGCAATGGCCTCCACCTAGTAGCGATGGCCTCCACCTAATAGCGATGGCCTCCACCTAATAGCAATGGCCTCCACCTATATAATAGCCATGGCCTCCACCTTGAATAGCGATATCCTCCACCTGGTGGCGATGGCCTCCACCTAATTTAATGGCGATGGCCTCCACCTAACAGCGATGGCCTCCACCTAGTAGCGATGGTCTCCAACCTAATAGCGATGGCCTCCACCTAATTAATTTCGATGGCCTCCACCTAGTAGCGATGGCCTCCAACCTAATAGCGATGGCCTCCACCTTATAGCGATGGCCTCCACCTAGTAGCCATGGCCTCCAACCTAATAGCGATGGCCTCCACCTGGTAGCGATGGCCTCCACCTAATGGCGATGGCCTCCACCTAGTAGCCATGGCCTCCACCTGGTAGCGATGGCCTCCACCTGGTAGCGATGGCCTCCACCTAATGGCCATGGCCTCCACCTTGAATAGCGATGGCCTCCACCTAATAGCGATGGCCTCCACCCAGTAGGGTCCTTCCTACTAATTAATATCAGGTGAAAGGTATTATGCTAGGTGGAGGCCATCGCTACTAGGTGGAGGCCATCGC